ATTTATGTAAATATTATCCTGGTATTAAAAAAAATTTCAATAAATTTGGGCTTGTTTGTTCGCTGTGACATTCTATGTTAATTGACTATCCCTTCGGACACTTAAATAAATAATTAATTATCGCTAATTGTGCCACAGTCAATTATTAACGCCAAGTGAACTGGACAAGTACAAAAGTCAAATGACAATACAAACTCTAAAATCGGCGAATACCACAACGAACAAGAAAACCTTGAAATTCCAAGGATTCATAAAAGGATCGTTCGCAATATTTCTCAATGTCAACAAAATGGCAGGCCATTCCATCACAAGGACTATCTCCTGGCGATACTGTTAAGACTAAACCTCTCGATAAATTGAGAAAAAAGAAATAAAAAATCTCTTCTCTCAATATTATAAATGACTGTTCAAAAATAGACTATGAGTTACAAGTGTTACCTTAAATTACAGAAGAAAATATATATTAGTTCACAGTTCAGGAATGAAAAAACTTGGCATATGAGTTAAACTTTAAAGCTCGAGACGTTTCTCTGTGCTTCCTTCTCCCCCCTATTCTTTTGATTATTTCGCTGGACTAAGCAGTATTCTCCTCCTAGGTGTACTGACTACCACCTGATTCCTCTTCCTGGCAAGTTCCACCGCATGTTTCCACCCATATATCAAAGGAAATATTTCTGCATCGATAGTCTCTGGAATGGCATTGAACACATCAATGTCATTTTTCCCAGGGAAATCACCATCGATGAACCGACGATCATAGGCGGGCCCATCCTCCTCAGCGAGGCTGTAGTCATTCTCCGAGTCTTCCTCAACGTCTGTTCCATTTGGTGTTTCCGGTGGTGTCTGGTACTCCTCATCTGGAGAAACATCACCAAGAATGCATGTAAAAACCCGAGAAAAATTGAATAAAAAATAAATAATTACCTTCTTCGGAGTCAGTGCTGATGGACCTGCCGAGAGAGCACATCTCCATCTGCTTTGTCAATATCTCCATCTCATCCACTTCCTGGGAAAGGCGGAACTTAGGCTTACGTATCGTCAGTTTACTTCTCACTATCTTCGTCTCATCCTGTATATTTTGTTTTTGGGTAAACATCCTCCTGAAGTAGCTCTCCAGTTTGGACAGCCCCTCGATGGACGTAAGATCAGCGGCTTCATTCATAAAAGGCCACCATTCGCTCCAGTTCACTCGATACTCGTGCGCCAAGTCTCTTCCGACAGTTTCAAGTCCTTTCTCAGTGTCCAGGAGTCTCACCTCTGGATCTCTGTGCCTTGGACTGAGAAACGTGAAGGAGTCGTTGCGATGATTGTTATTTCTATTGGGTGTCCTGGACAATCTCGGTGGAGTCTTCCATTTCTTCCTAAACTCGACAGCCTGGGACTTACTCATGGGCCCAGCCATCGCCTTGACCTCGACTTTGGGGGACAGGGGATCGACTTGGAGTCTCGGAGGACTCGATGGAGAGAAGGGCATGCCTATCGTTGGCTGGAGGGAGTTGTCCTCAGCCCTCAATACTGGCACGTAATACTGATCCTCAAAGAGCATTCTAATATCTTTCGCGAGATTCTGATCGTCCTGACCCTTTCTACTGCAGATTGTCTGGACTGGCAGGACGCCGAACTTATTTTTCATATTTTTTAGGCACTGGGGGTACGACAGCAAAATTTTCACCACCTCGATTTTACCAAACTTTGCGGCAAAGTGGAGTGGTGTTTCGTGTAGACCCTTGTCGGGAGTATTCAAATACAGATCTAACCAGATTTTTGCAGTGGTTGCGTAAATCGATTCGCCCCCTTTGCCGTACAAGAGCTTCACGAATTTTGGATCTGATACAATTTCTAAGATCTTTGCACACATCTCGGGCTCTTGAGTTTTGGAGGCAGCGACATGCAAGGCGTTGTACCTGCAACCTTCCTGGAAAAAGCAAATCGATTAGTTCCTTTAAGAATTCAATAACAATTATGCAATAAAAAAATTTTTAATCCAACAGTTTTTGAAGATTATTTGTTCAGAATGACAACCTCACCTGGAGAATAGCTGGAGTTTCACCTGATGAAATTAGATACCTAGGATTATCCCAGACCATCTGCATGACAGTAGCCACATCGCCACTCTCAATGAGCTTCCTGAAGAAAACCAGATCCTGGGATTTAGGCGCCTTAAAGGAACTCCCTTGCCCCTCCCCAACTGGTAATTGAACTTTCGAATTTTTTTTGGCACCTGTAGCCTCTTCAAAACCATGCTCAGCATATTTTTCAGCCTCTGACCTCGACTTGAATGTCTTCAGCCGAGCTGCCTCGAAGGCCTTGATGACAGCCAATGCTACCTGCTTATCCGTGTACACATGGGTTATCTCTAAATAAAATTGTATGTAAGTATTAGTCATTGATAACCTCAAAAATTAAAAAAATAGTCCCTCCCAGTCAGATCCTGGCCGTATATTTTTATTTACCTTCAACAATAGTCTCAGGATCTCTCGGGATGTATACAGCATGATAAACAAGGTCATTAGTGCTGTTATCACAGTTGTTATCATTCACTTGCGATGTTTTGTTGTCATTTTCCTCGGTCTCCCCCATTTTGTCATTTCTCCAGTAACTGGGAAATAAATAACGAGCCACGATTGCCGAATTTATCTCGTACACCTGATGCCAACGTTCAGCTGATTGACATTCAACGTGGCATTCACCTGTCAACACCTTGATAACAACTGTACTCTTTATCTTTGTTTTGTTACAAGTGAATAATAACAGAACACGTCAAAAGACGGTTGGAACATTTTCTCATTTTTCGAATTTCGAGGGTGGCAATACGCAAGCGCCATTTTTTTATGCTCCGCGCATGCGACAACCTCTTGGCACCCGCGTAATTTTGAAATTGCGGGGTTTTTTCACGTTCGAGATACTTTCAATCGCGGAATATTGAAACTATCGCGTACGCGCTAAATTTCACTTTTAATTTCATTTATAAAACAATTCAAAAAAACAATTCAATATTAATTCAATTGCATATCAATTAATCAATGAATGATCGTTTTTAAAAATAATGAAGTAAATAACTGAATAAATAAAGGGACTTCCTATTGATTGGCTTAAATCTACGGATTTAATTTCTGAGTGCAATTATTTATTCAAATTCTCCAAAATTATTGAACTGAGTGGATTAAAAAAAGGAAAAAATGGACAATGCAAGAAAGTGCAAGATTGTCCTGCCCTGGAATAATGCACTGCGACATAGGGCGCATCCACCACCCCTGGGACCCAGCCCGTGCATCCCACTCAGTGGCTCTCATCCTAGAAAACTCAATACACGAGAATACAATCGTTCATCACTGACAAGACAACAACTCACTGTTTTTATCGTTATTTACCAATAATGTGAAATACCAGCATTTACCCAGTCTCATAAATAAAATATATCAGCTGCTGAGTGAGTATTCAGTAAAAATCCTCAAGTTTTTCATACAGTATTCTATTGAAATTTTTAATTCATCAAATTCTGCTCCATTGTGACCTGTGCACCAATACAGCTGCATTGACTCATGGATTAAGGACCTGACTGCCAGGTTATGTGAAAAAAAAAATTGATATTTAATTATTTCGGAGGCTCTGGGAAATACGCCGAGGCCATGGGTCAGGGTACTGACTGTCCGGATAGACCCACTGAGGTCAGTGTCATCAGATTTGTATCCAGAAATCGAACGATCGAGGAAATCGCACCGAAGAAGGTAATGCAGGCTAGATTGCATCTTCGATGTGTAGCTCTGTCTCGCTTTATTGTACCGCCATTGATGCCTCTCCCCCCTTTCCATGGTCTGAGGTCATTGGCCTCTAATCCAAAACATTCCAGGGATTCGAGACAAAGGCACCCTTTTGCCTATTCCCTGGACCAACCTTTACTTTTTCATTGCACTATGATTATAAAGTATTATTCATGATTATTATTTACGGTTTGCTCCAGGAAATTTTTACGTGCAAGCAACAGGGATGCGGAAAAATCTTTACTAATCAGGATGAATTCAAGACACACGAGGCTCTAGAGGAATTGAAAATTCGATTTATGTAAATATTATCCTGGTATTAAAAAAAATGAAAAATATGAGTCTTTTCAGTCATGAAATTCAAGTGATTTGTCGCTTTTACAGATGCCGCGAGCCAGGTTGCGGCAAAGAGTTGTCAGACCCTGGGACAATGTGGCGTCATTACCAGGAGTTTCACAGTAACGAGACGAGTGTCTTCGTGTGCCCTTACACAAGCTGCGGTTCCCTACACAGTACCAGTGAAAATCTGGAGGAGCACATAGAGAACAGCCACCGACAACCACCAGCCCTACCAACAGAACCCGAAATAATCTGCTTCGAGGGTCCAGTCAGTACCCAAGTGAACAGTGAAGATGAGCCCCTGAAAACCACTGGTGATGAGGAAGAAGAGGATCTCGAGGAGGAGGATTCACCTCAGAATGAGGACGAGGAGTTCTTTGATCGTGATAAGAAAAACTCCAGATTCACAAGGACCACTGCCACTCGTAAATCAAATAACTATATAATCACACCAAATGGTGCCCAAAATAATGAGAGATACTCGAGTAAAGATGAAAGACTGACTCGAAATGATACCGATAGCCAAATCACTGCCGATACTAAAGAGATCGACGAATATAGTTCTAACGATTACCAAAAAAATTCACGAATAAATGAAGCCTCTGAGGAAGAATATTTCATAAATATTTATGAGGATACACCGAAGGTAGACGCCGAGGAGATTGTCTTCGAGGCAATCGATGAGAAAATCCAGGATCACAGGATTGACCTGGGGAATTTAGAGAGTGTATTCAGGAGTGGACTCGAAGGGGAAACGAAGAAGAGTGATTCGAGTAATGCCGAGGGTAATGGAAATTGCAGTGAGGACGAGGAGTACACACCAAAGAAACAGAGAATGTCTAGGTACAAGCAGGAACAACCGTATAAATGTGACGTCAATGGGTGTGGAAAAACGTACAAGTACATATCTCATTATAGACACCATCAGGATAGTCACAAGGTGCAGGAGAATAATTCGGTTAATAAATTGAGCAAGCCAACGAATAGACAGAGCAAGGGAAAGGCAACTACTGTTAGTTTTTTCTTGTGAGTATGATGAGCCATGAGATAATGGATAATCAATTTTGATAATTGTTCGGGTGGTTTAAATAATTTGAAATTTGTTGCAATTGCAGATGCAAAATACCAGGATGTGGGGCACAAGCTAGCAATGTGACTACACTGTGGAAGCATTATCAGGATAATCACGCAAATTCAAAGGCAAATGTCACTCAATCCACGAAAAACAATCAATCATTTCGGTAAAAATAAATAATTGAATTGTGTTGACGTGAATAGTAAAGGAATGAATAAAAATTTGCAGATGTAAAATATCCAACTGCGAAATGGAATTTCGCTCTAGTGCAATGCTGTACAAGCACTTCAATCAGATCCATACAAACGTGACACAAATTGATGGTAGCACAAATGGAAAGACTGGCAATGGGAATATTCATTTTAGGGACGATGGAGTTGCCCAGGTAAATTTTAAGACTGAATTCAAAGCCAAGTATGTTAACACGACTGATGATTACGACGATGAGGAGAGAAATATGTCGAATGGACTGAGAATTAAGGAGGAGTCACGTGATTGATTCATCACAGTTTTATGATGGTAATTTATTGAGTGAATTTTTGCATTTGGTGGAGGGAATAATAAGCATTTCCAGGAATTCGCAAAGGAATAAAAATTAATTATGAAAGAAAAAGAATCATTAAATTGGTAAATTTGAAAATAATGGAGGAATGAAGTTAAATTAAGTGTTCACTTTTACTGTTAACAATTAGGAATATTACTTAGGCATTATATACAGAATTGACTGCCACTTGTGATTATATACGAGTAATAGTAATTTTTTTTAATCGTTTCTAGCGAATTTAACGCTCGAAATGAATTTCATCATTTTCTGAGATTAAAAAAATGAAAAATAACAGGTAAAGGATAAAATTTTACTTCCGTCTCGTGTGTTCCTCCTCAGGTCCACATTACTGCAATTCACTTCTTGACGTTACAATGACACTGTCAATACTGATAGTTTAAGAACATGAAATTAATTTATTTATTATTAAATTGTGATTGATACTGAGATCTCTCGATCTGATGGTCACGATTAAATTCACTACTTGAAATTATTCAAATGAAATCAGTCCGAACGCGTCACTCAACTTTGCTACATTAATATAATTAACGAAATGGTAAATAGGTTGTATTTAAAGTTGCTTGAACAAAAGACTATGCACGACAGTCGTATTGCTAACATGTGAATATTCTAGGATTGATAATAATTATTCAAAGTTATTAGGATAATTAACGATTAGGCTTTGGTGTCTCATTGAGCTCAACACGTAAATTCAATGAATTTTTCCAGAGTTATTACTTTGTAATTTAAATTTAATTATATATTGGCACAAGACTCCTGAATTATTCAATTCAGCCGTACTGATTTCTACTGTTTTATATATGAATTAATTTATATCGTTTTTTAATGGTGAAATAATCAATGTCGATGAGGGGGTGAGTATGTTAATGGACTTTATTTGTGGAGAAAAACTCGACTGTACACAATTATTGTTCTTTTCTTAGTCCTTGAGAAAAATAATAAAAAAACATCTGTGCAATAAGTAATTTCGATGCAAATTTAATGTTTAAAAATTCAGAGACCGTGAGATTACTATTATTCTGAGTGACAGAGTGGGATTGGAGAAATCGTAACTCACTGGGGATAATTTCCAATCTTTTTTTGGAATTACAAAGATTGCGAGCAAATGAGACCTGCGACCTGAGAACGAAGATGACCTCCAGGAGACCGCATTCCAATCAAAATTGGCCCCATTTTCTACGGTAGAATTATGATAGAGAAGTAGACGAATGAAATGAAATTTACCACTCGGCATAAATAATTTTACGAATAATCATTCTCTTTTATTTACAAAAATCTAATATACATAAAAATAATGGTTGTAGTTGGTAGAAGTAATAATTTATTTACAGTTTGTTTTAACGCACATCGTTAATTTGTCACTCATTTTCTTCTGCTTCATATTCTTTCGTAACTGGCGATTAAATGCATTGATAATCATAAATTCGGTTTATCATCGAAAATTGGTAATTCCAGAGGGAAAAATCAATCATTTTGTCAATTCGAGAATGGAATAAATTCCACTGAACTTATTTCGAGTCTTCGTGTTGGATAATTAAAAATTTATCAATAGTGCATTTTGTACAAGGATTGTGCCACTGGACTTTCAAATACCCGATTTAGAAAACTAGGAATTAATTCCTCATTCCGATCAATTTAAGAATATCCCATTACACTTTTCAATTCTAACTAATCAGTATACATTGGATTTTCAATTAGTCGATTTGTGTTTCCAATTGTATAAAAAATCAGAAATATTGCAAAACAATTAGATTTACTAAAAGTATTCGGATATCCTTAAATCAGTAGAAAAAGTGGTAAAATGCGACTGGTTAATCTCTAATTTCACCACCTCCATGTTAAATGACCTTGCCCTCGACGCCTGCTGGAACACTCCCCCGAAACTCTAAATCTAGCCAACAAAAGGAAATTGTGGATACCCAACGGGTGGTGGGTAGTACCCAGGAAAAGCAGGTACAGTAGGTTGAACAGGAAGAGTAGTAGTGACATAAGTAGTAATTTCTGTGGGGACAACCTTCGTGGAGAAGAGGGTTGTGTACGCCGTTTTAGCCCCGAACGTGAGCTTCAGCACCCTAGAATCAGACACAGTGGCCAATGTCTGGGTGACAAAGGGTGCACTGGTGACAGTGAACTGTGGCTGCTGCTGGAACAACGGTACCTGGGGCAATTGCGGCACCTGAGGGGGAATTAATGGTGCTACAGTCGACGTACCAAACTCGTACGAGGTACGTGGTACTGTTGCAACTGGTCTGGAGAGTGTTGAGTACACAGTATTTCCATTGTTAACAAGGGGAATAACGTGAGATTCGTAAACAGTCTCCAGGACAATCACAGGGCGTGAGGTTGTGATCACCTGAGGTGTAGCTGGTGGTGGTTGACCGAAATACTTGAGTAGGGCAAGTTGTTGGGCCTGCTCTGGAGTGAGTTGAGGCTCTGGAGCAGATGTCGTTGGAGCCTCCTTCGGTTTTCCAGACGACCTGAAGACATCAAGATCATCTACATCTGAATTGGGAACGACTATCCTCTTGGGGATGTCCTCGTCGTCCCTGTCGTCGTCACCGAAGTCCAGCTCCAGGTGGAGCTCACTTCCAGCCTCATCCAATTTCGTATTAAATTCGTTAAGAGTCTTTGAGGGAATGAATTGATAGATCTCTGAAGGGGGAAGTGTCTTTGTTGCTGTCACCATCCTGGCAATGTTGTAGGTCTGCACTAGAGTAATTGTCGATGTGTTGCCAGCTGCCACCACTGGCAGTAGGTGGGTCTTCAACAGGGTTTGAGTCGTTGTGAAGGTTTCCGTCAGGGTCTCCAGGGGTGGTGTTGCCTGGTTTGACTCCAGGGTTATTGCTGGAAGAGTTGCTACCGAGGAGTCCAGGGGGAGTGAGGACTCGTATGCTGCACCTGTATTCGCCAGGATGTTCTCGGTGAGGGGCTCGGTGGGTGTTGATGTCGCTGTTGGCTCGGCTGTCGCAAATGTCTTCTTCATGGTTGATGTCACTGTTATGTAACGCGTGTTCTTCATTGTTCCCACCTTGAAAAAAATTATCGGTGTGATCGAGTGAAGAAAAGAGAGTCATTTAGAGGAGAAATGGAGAGAAAGTCGGAGGAGATAGAGTGCTACTTCCGGTGGAATGGGGTATCCTGATGGAATATCTTCAATGAATAAGTTAAACCAGTTTTAGTCTTTCAGCCATGAGAAACATATATTAAGGGGCATTTACCTGGAAGGCATAAGGTGATTTGATGGTGGCTATTTCGAAATAAACGTCATTGAAGTCAGCTGGAGTGGATATTTCAACGTTGAGAGTTTCAACCGGAAGACTGTGCTCGGGTAGTGGCTGATCACTCTGGACACTCGTTGAAGACACTTCTTCCGTCTCACTGGGATCTAATTCATCGTCGTATGTACCACCTTCCTGAATTTTTTTCTGAGCAGGGGGAAAGGACAATGGAGTTTTCTCATCAGTTGTTGTTATTGTTGGCTCATTTGTGACGGGTTCGAGTGTTGATACTCTCTCTTCATCATCCACCTGCTTCCTGATGGCAATACGGGGCTTCGGAGTCGTTTTGTAGGACCAACGCCCCTGGGTACGTGGAAGTTTTATTTTTGGCATTGGATTTGGATTGGAGTTTTGCTCGGGTTTTGGACGGATGGGTTTTGAGGGGGAGGTGAATGGTTGGGAGTTGTTGGGGCGGAATCCAGATCGACGACGAGATACCGAAGCTTCTGTTGTAGTTGTTGTTAATACTCGGTTTCTAAAGTTTGGGAGAAAGAAAATTTTGTCAGATTTTTCTCATCCTGCGAAATCATTTGTGAATTTGTGGAAAAAAATTATCACAATGTTTACTCACTTGTAACTCGGCCTGGACGTTGTAGCTCGATTCTTCCCCTGAATCCTCGGCTGTTGTGGAGCTTCGAAGTTGTCACCATCATCGTAGATCTTGTTCCGGAATTTTGGTCGAGCATGAGGAGCCGTATGTCTTCTAGTTGTCTTAGAACCAGGTCCTAAATTCAAAAAAATCACCCTCAGTTTATCAGTTGATTCATTCAATCTAATATTATAAAACAGATAAGACAATGAGACCTTCAACAGGTACAGAAGACTCTTCCTGCTGATGAGCTGGAGTGGGCTCCAGCTGTGGCTTAAGTTTCCCATGCTGTGGCCCGATGGTTTTTAAAATCCTCTGAGAATTCGTAGGGCGTATTTTCGCTTCTGGAACCGCTGGGGTTCCTCCTTTGACAATTCTCGACGTGCTCTGGAGGACTTGGGCATATTTTCCATTGATATAAGTACCAAGAACAGATGTTTCATGCACTGTTGTCAATCCATCTTTGACGATGGTACCACCCAGTCGTGTGACCAGTCCCGTTGGATTTTCTTTCTCCTTCTTGGGGGATGGACGAGGTTTAACCGGGGCCTTCGACGAGGGCCTCAAATTTATCAACTAAAAATTCAAGTCGAACCTCAATTATCCAACGAAAAGCGCATAATTATTTATTGAAATGAAATATTCAGCGAATTGAATTTTTGTTTTTGAATTTTTGGAATTCATAGAATTCATAAAATTCACAGAACAATTACTTGACATGAATATTGAGTAATCTGACAGACAAAACAGCTACAGAACAGTTATCCGGGGGCTTTTGCCATTCGCATACCTTGTAAGTCTCGTCGACGACTTCAGTCGGTTGTTTGGACAGGTAATCATATTCTGGCTCAGCGAGATTATTTTTTACTGGTTTATTTCCATCAGCAACAACTTGAACGACAGTTGACAGCACAGGAGCTTTAGTGCTCTCGGTCAAAGATTTTGCTGGCTGCAAAGTTGGATAATTTTCCCATGAGAATAATAAGCAATCAATCCATTAATTACAATAAACAGTGAGGTAATGCGAACAGTAATTCTTCTTCATAAAAATGATTGAGCGTCTGATTGAAAACCGCTGAGAGAATTCTTACGAGAATCTTATGTAAATCGATTATCTCGATAGAAAATCGATGAGAGTTTATCAGGTGATTATTACATCGCACAGTCGTCGTCTGAATCGTCTGATTCATGTAGGAAGTTGCGATTTTTATTGATCGTAGATTATCAACGTGAGAACGAAAATACCTGCATTAAATTTGACGCATTGCTTATGATTTTTATTGTTATTCCATCAGAGAATTGTTGAATTAAAATAGTAAGATGATACCTCTGGATTTTCCTGGTCTTTTTTTATAACTGAGTTGACGATGATTTTTGTATTCTTCGATGGCTTCTTCGTTTCACCATTGTCACTCTTGTGGGTTTTGCTCGGTTGTATCTCGATATGTTTCTTAGGAGCTGGTGGTTTAGTCTCGATCACAGGCGCACTCGTGGGTTTTTCTCCCTCTTTAATCAGATTAAAGACAAAAATTGCGTTTTACTTATATTTTTTTCCATCTCTATCATCTGAATATTCTAAAAGATGGGAGAGTAGTCCTCGAAAGCATTCGTAGGTGGAGAAAGAGGAATGATTTGCGGTTTTTGATTCATCACTTCGGAAGATGTACGTTATGAAATAGTTTTGAGTAATAGGCATGGTGTCTCAATGCCACTGAAGCACGATCATCTGATTCATATGATTTCTCGATCTAATCCTGACGTTACAATGGAATTTATGACACCAGGGGTCGAGGTCAGAGGTAAAAAATCAGTGGGTGGTAAAAGGATTCTAGGCATCAGACAAAGGCATCAAGTGAACGATGACGGATTGCCAAAGGTGTCAGGGTTTCTTAGTGAGACAATCACCGCGGAGAATGACTGATTAACTATCGAAGGAGAAAATTACAAACAAAAAATAAATAACGGCACCTTCTCTCCGTTTTGATGAGATGGTGACAGAGACATGAGAATCGAATCGAAAATTGTTAATGAAGAATTTCCTGAGGCCAACCACAACTCCACCAGATCTGCACAGCCTCTCAGCTGTTGCATAATGACCGAATGTTTCGATTTACTAATGCCAGTTTTTAAAATAATTCCAGTTGTGAAATTTATCCTGTTAAGAATTTCAATTTGCTAGCGGATTTGATGATATTCTTACCTGGTGGTGCACTTTGAGGACTGAAAACCATCACGGTATTGCCGATTGTTGTTGTAAAATCTAGAAAACCGTAGACCGTTTGAGTGATGAAGTCACTCTTGTTAGCCTCTGGGTCATTGGATTCTGCCACCTCCACTGCATTATTGCTGTCAATGCCACTCGATTTGTACACCTGGCCAAGACTCACCGACACTGAAATTACAATTTTCAATCCATCCTCAACTATACCATCGAAAAAAAAAATAAGCAAACAATTTTTAAAATCCCCAAAAGTCACATCTAAAATCTGGATCTGACTTTGTCTAATAATTCAATTTCTCCACCAACCAAGGGTTTATTTCCCAAACATTTCCCACATAGAGGAGTCAACATAAATATTAAATTCACAAATACAGAAGGAATGATAATTCACCCTTGTCCCTTTCACCGAGAAACCTTTGTGCACCTAAAATGGAAGTAGATAAATAGTATCCGAGTAATAATTCACGTATCGAACCAGTGGCTTGAAATTATCCAGAAGAGAAAAATAGGAAATGGTGATACAAGGAGAATGGGCCGTTGGTTATTCTGCCCAGAGCGAGAAAAAAGACATTCCTGTAACGAGCACTCGTTCATGAAGGATAATTACTCCCTATTTTTATTCGATTTTATTCCACGTAATAAGTCCCCGATGCGAAAATCATTTGAAATCATTAAGATCCATTCCGTTTACGATCTTTTCACTTAAACAATTAAAATACTTTCATTATGGTACTGATACAATCAATAGACGCAATTGCGTGTGGAAAATCACATGGATGAGTGATTATACCACTGATATGGGAAAAGTACTCATGCGTTTAATACCATGTGTACTTGACAAATAAAACGTGTGGGAACGTTTAGGCATTTGGTAATAACGCGATACATGCGAGGGGCTCAATCGATTCAATAAAACCCAATACATTGATACATTTCTCTCAGAACATTATTGCCAAATTTTTGAGAAACTCTAGTGGCGCAATTGATTGTTACTCTGATGCGTGAAATCGAAACATTTGTAATGTTGACCATTTACGTTTTATTTTGAGCAATCGATCTGATTTTTTAATTCTTCGTATCCCAGCGTGTACTCAATTTTTTCTATCGCGATCCATAAAACCAATTATTTATTAAAATAAAACAAAATAGTTATTGAAAAACTTACCACAGGCGAAGATAATAAATAAATTACTGTATTTTGATGACATGACGCTGTCAATCGGATCGCATTGTATGATTAAGAAAACCTCAAATCTGAAATTAAAAAAATGTAATTAGAAAATCAGGGAGCGAATTATAAATCATGGAGGAGGAATAAATCATTCATTCATTGTGATTTTCTCCGGTTTCATTATTCAAAAACATAAAAAGTATGAGTTTTGTATTTTTTATTCGATTTAATATCACAGGAATTCTAGAAAGAATTCTGACTCAAATGAAATAATTCTCGAGAGTTTCCTTCAGCTAAATCAATTGAATAAAATTAAGTAGAGGGAAGGAATGAGAAGATAAACCTGAATGATCATTTGATTCTCATGCCATTTAAATAATTCCTAGAGTTTCTGACACAATCATCAGAGCCATAAATAAATAAGAGGTATCCTATTTTCTATTCATATCTTCACAATAAAATACCGGGGTAATACTATCAATCGGCTTTACCTGAAGTCTTCTCATTATTGGATAAACAAGTCGACCCTGGAGACCGTGGGAATCTCCATCGTTTAATTTTAAAAAATGTAAACATGTAACAAAATCCATTAAATTACTCAGCAGTCTGTAAACATGACATTATCTCCGGAAAATCTCCCCAATTTACCAACTAATTTTACCACTTTGTTACGTAAAATTGAAAGATAAGTTGAGACCTGGATAATGCAGGGAAAGAAAGGAAAAATGAATAAGAGCAAAATAATAAAGCGATGAAGTCTATTTGCTGGTGAGGACAAGCTCATGCCTTTCACCCACTGTTGCAACAGAATAGAAACAGCATTTAGGTACTCCAATATGTATTATATATATATCTTGGTGGTTATTTTCTAATATTGTTAACCCAGTGAATGAGATTTCCCCGATTTTCTCGGATTTTCCAACCGGGAAATGACCGCACGCCCAGGAAATCTCCAGTCAAGTGATAGAAATAATTGCACTGCAATTTCTACACCAGTTTTTAGCGAATATCTCAGGACTGAGGGAAGATATCAATATCTTTGTATAAACATTTCTTGCAGGAAAAGATGAGTTCGGTGAAAATGGTTATTATGAAAATATCGGTATCTTCCTTCAATGCCGAGATATTTGCTGAAAGCTGGGAATAAAAAATGCAGTTGTCCATGTTTCGGGTGATATTGTTTCATTAATGAATGTTTTAATTAATTAAAGTCGGTAATTGAAGTCAGGACGATTTGAGTTCTCAATTAAAAATTCAATCCAAGTTCTTGGCGTTATTTATGAGAGAACTGTTGGCGTAAATTAAATCTCGTCGGGTCAATGGGATTATGAAAGAGTCATAGAGTGGTAGTTTCATTGTCAGAACAATTCAAGGACTTGAATTATGTACTGAAATATTTCATGGAGTAAATGAGAAGGAGTGGCCCTAGGGGCAATAAACGTGCTCAACCGATATCCCATTGTCGTCTGTCAACTTATTTAATGAGAATGTTGCTAAATCTTGTTTTAAAATTCCCAGCGCCATAATCGATTGTATAAATAATTTATCGTTCCTATTTGTTTATATTGTATAAATAATTTATCGTTCTCATTAAAAAAAAAAAGCTGCTAAATTCAATGCATAAATAAACCTAAACACATAAATATTTGTAAGTCAAATGTGTGAATTTTCTTTTAACAAATTTATTGAGCAAGTGTCATTATTTCAATTTCTCTCGGTGCATTCATCTGCATAATTTGTTTATTGAGTTGTGGGGGTCGATTTAGCAGCTTCGGTTGATGATTCGGATAATAGAAAATAATGCAAGTGATATTTTTGTTGATAAGATAGTAGAGGAACAAAAGGAGGAAATAAACTGCGGATGAAAGCGGCGGAAGTGGCACACGGTACATTCGATTTTACTCTCTTCGTATGAAATTCGATTTCTAATATCCGATGATCCACTTAAAGACGAATAGATCGAGAAATTTGTCAATGTCCCATTTTACTGATTAACAAATAAAATATACTGAGAGAAACAATCACTACCCGATTTAAACGAGTGAAGTAAATTCACAATTCAAATTTAAATATTTCTTTACATTTAATTGGACGTGATTTAATTCAATTGACATTAAGAAATTCATTTGGGACAACAACATTTTTTCTCCGTGTGGCAATAAACAATCTATTGTTCCGCACTCTCTTCACTTTTTTACGGATAAAAAAAATGTTTCATGAGTAATTCATGAGCGAAATAATGAGGTGAATGCACCCTGGGGTCAGCCCACGTGAAATAATTCTGTAAAAGGAATAAAATGCAGAGAGCCGGACAGAGAAATAATTCCTGACGATTTTTCGAGGTTTATGAAGAAAATAGAAGGCCAGGGAATTTCTTTGATCTCTTCACGATAATTTTTTAATTTTTTCTTTTCATCAGACCAGGATTAATCCAGAGTCAAGTCTTTGTTCAACTTATCGGGATTTATGCTAATTTTTTTATCGATCGATGAATTCAGCGGTTGTTTTTTTCACGATCAGGGTCTCCGGATTCGACCGTGAAAAATAATTCGGAATCGATTAAATTTTATTTGCATATTGAGTGAGTTGTTTACCTCGTTATTCGGATCTATCGTCTATGGATTGAGGAGAAGAATATATTTTTATATATATAAATGGGTTTTGGTTCCTGGAACTTGTGAATTGATGAATAATTATGAATTCTGAGTTATTTGCGGAAGTTTTTTGAATACCGATTTTTCAAGAAACAGAAAATTACATCATCGATACAAAATATTTGCATAAAAATTCAAACTTATTGTTATTGTGTTTGAATATCAATTGAATTTTTCGTGACAAACAAGTTGTGACGCTGTTTAAAAAATTCAATGGAAATACGAAAATAGTAAAATAATTATCATTATAGTTATATAATAATAATTATTGTTATTACTGTAATGTATAAAATATAATTTGAATGATGCTGTAAAAATAATTGTAGTTCGTGCAATGCAGTAGTGAAGCTGCAGTAATTGCATTTAACGTACTATTTGTTCAGTGAATTTTATTTTGTTTATTTGGAATTCCTGTGGTGTCCTCCCACGCATTTTTATGCTGTTCAGCATTCTCGGGGATTTTTCCCCAGGACTTATCGTTGTACCCCGACATCCTCGAAAATTCTCATTTTTTTATCTCGCGATCGAGGTCACCCGGGGAGTCTAACATATATATTTTTTTTTTCAAGTTATTCGAGATGAGACTGAATCCGGTTTTTCGAGTAATTATGTTTCTCCTGCCTTTCTCTGTATTCTAAGACGCCCTTTCACTTTCCAGTCGACAGGGAAAAATTTTCAAATGATCGACGAGTGTCAATGGGACGAACAGAATAATTTTCGAATTAGGGCAATCCTGTTGTCTAGAAAATGAGATTTAGGGTATCGACGGGCAACACGTGGCAAAATTATTTTCCCATCGTTTTCTACTTTTCTCCGTCTTTATTATTTTTTAAGGCTTGTACTTAACCATGTGGATGTACTTTTTATTATTTTACACGAATTTGCTTTAAATTGCTAATTTTTCACTACCGATTTTCGCAGTAAAGAATATTGAACGACTGGTAATTGGAATTGATGGTAGAGTATTCAACTTGGAAAAATTTTAGAAAATAATTATGTTAATTGTATTAATGGATTGAATCAATTGAAGTCTCTAAATGGAACGTTAGAATGAATTTAATAAAAAATGTGTGAAATGCTGGGATTTATTTAAGGTTTTATGATCGGGGAATCTCGTACCCTGACCTCATCCACTTATTAATGAGTTAAATGGCCTCGAGGTCATCGGAGGTCCCAGGAATTCAGAATTCCCAGGAATTCAGAATTCCCTCTCCACAAAAATCGGTTTGTAAATAATCTGCAGATTATTCACAAAAATTTTCCTCTAAAAATTTTCCATTATAAAATTTATTGAATAAAAATTCTCACCAATCTTTTCGAAACATTCCACTTTTAAAATAAAAAAACTAGACTGTAAAAAAACCGGATGAGACAAATTTCCAGGGCCGCAACCGAAATTTAAACGCACTAATTGAAGGACAATGCCAGATAATTTCGGATAATACGACTCATCATTATTTTTCTTTCTTCATACCTGAGAACACAGATGATATCACTTTTTCTCCTCAAAAAATTTTACATGTGACGCAATGGTAAACATTGAATTCACCCGTCGAGATTTCAATGGTTCGCAGTTAGCAATGAAATTCCCATTGAAACGGAAATAAGATCTCACAATGCCCTAGGATTTTCCCCTCATTCCACAATACCTACGATTACATAACTCGCCATGTAATCCTTTTTTGCTGAACCCTCAGCATGAATGCTCAAATACGTGCGCAAGAAAGCCCGCAATTATCTTCATTAATTCCGACTTTTCACATGCCAGCGAAACTTAAAATTCCCAATAAAACAAAACAAAAAAAAACTATTGATTTATTTACTCTTCACTCATAATAGATTATCCTCTATTGAATTTATTTCCGGTGACGATAATTAAGTGAAAGTTATGCGCAATCGGTTGATTAACTCTTAATGAACGCGTGTACTTAATCGTGAGATCTTTTCAATAAAAATATTATTCACTTTGAACTATTTCGCTCACATTTCGCGGATTTGGTGGCTCGTTTGAATTGTTTTTTAACAGTCTTTTAACCGACATAATCCATAATTGGAGACACTCAACAGTAAAAATATACAGCACAATTCTCTCGTAACGAGGTATGACTCCGGTAAATTTATCTCGTTGAATCACTGGAAGTATTGGCGACCCAATTTTTAATTGACTCGTTGTTTTCAGTTCTAGTCGATATTTTTTTATTGCACCGGCACAATCTCCTGGGACTCTATTCGCGCGAGTCGTTAAATTTCTGGGATCATTAAATTTCATTGAGAAAAGGTGGCAGGAGGCATATGAACCAGGAAAGCTCGGATTACTTCTTGTGTCTCGTAAATTTTCATCTGAGAATGGAAATGCTAATGAAATTCCTCGGTGAAGAATTTTCACTCCCTAAATATTTTTAACATCCCATTTTTTCGCCATTAAATTA